TCCACCAGTCCACATCTTTCTTCTTCCTCATCTCAACCTTCATCCCTTCCTCCTCTCCGGCGGTCCGGCCTCCACCTTTGTCCCCTTCCTTTTTCAAAAATCAAAATCATCCCATCTTCATATTTTAATTCACCCTTTTTTGGCCGCTATATCCACTCTTCTCGCATCATCATCAATAGTATCACACTATATTTTTTGCCTTCAAAATATGCCCATCTTTTCTATCTCTACCCTCCACCAGGACATATTTCCAGATCCGTTGAAGTTCACCCCCATAAAAATTGAAAGTCTTCTAGCCATCTAATTTCCACTTTCTGTCTTTCTTTTCATTTATTCTTCGGTGGTTAATTTAACCTTTGTTGTTAGAGCTAAACTTTCTATCCCTTTAGTTTGTTAAATACTTGAATCTGAATAATAGGAGAAACTAAGGAAATTGAATAGTAAAAACCCATAAAACAAAACTTTGTTGGTGGCCCAATGGATTTGTCCCTGTGAATGGAAATTTTCTTTCCTTTTGCCACTGGTTCAAACCTTTGACGGGAGGAAGAGAAAAGCAAAAAATTTGTTTTGTAAAATGAGTGATATATAGGGATAAAAAGGCCATTTTATCTCATTTTTCATTCCAAATCTTTCACTAACCAAGTAACATGTAATGGAAATGATAGTTTATCAACAAAAGCCATAGAAATTGGAATACTATCAAACCTCTTTTCTTTCATATCCCTACTGGTGAACCAGGCACCCCCTTAGTTTACATTTTTAAGTACCTGTACATAGCTGAAGGCTAACTTTTTGTTTGAAGTTTTCTACCGTATTTTTGTTTTTGCTTTTCCATCGAAACTGAAGTTATCGTTGTGATTTTATTTACGAGTGGCTAAGTTTTTCTATCTGATTTAATGAACTTTTGAATTATTTTATTATGAGGTTTGATTCTTTACCAATTCATAATTCTTGTCTATGGTTTGTGTAAATAGTTGATCTTTGTTTGACTTCAAAAAAATGAATATTAGCTAGCTCGACAACTTGCTTGTGTATTTTCTTTTTGGTGCCATATATTTAGTTACATGTTAAATAATTCACACGAACCATTTGAATTTAGTATTAGCAAGGCAAAACTTGTGCTTGCCTGAGAGAGTGAATGTTGTTGTCTGCTTAACTATAGAATCGATGTACCACAATTTGAATGATTGTAACTATTTCAATGATTTCGATCGTGAAATAAAAAAAAAACGAGTGATACAAAGAATAAGTCAACAGTTCAAAATAAGTTAAAATAGCGGTCAAACTTAAGTTGTATTAATATTATTACAACTTAAAATTTCCTTGAGTTTGAATATAAGAAAAATGTTTCACTTAAATTTTTCTCGTTATTTTACCGATGAAGTTTAAATGTGAGATGAATGTTTTATTTCAGATTTTTTCATAATTTAACCAGTGAAATTTAAACAATTTTTTTATTCATAAACGGCATTTTTTATTGCAAGAAAATGTTGATACTAAAGTTTGGAATCAAATCATGGAATTATCGGAGTATTCTTGTGCACTAATGTTTTGGTTTGCAAACCGATGGGATGGGAATTGAATATGTAATGAAAAGGCGAAAACGAGAGCAAAACGCGAGAGTGTCAAAGGTTTTTCAACACATCTTGGGGGACAAGTAACTTGAACAACAAAGCTCGGAATTGGGCTCTCAAATCTTTCTTCTGCAGCTTGAAGGTTGGTAAACAAATTTCACTAAGCGATCCTTTCTAAATTCGTAGATGTTGGAGGCCGAAAATGCAGCTGAAGTTTGTAGGTCAGAACTGCCCGTTAAAAGCGCAGAATTTTAACAGTGAAGTGACCAACTTTCAGATGTCGTTATTTGAGTTTCATAGCTCGGATGTGGGAGATCAAGATACCGCTGCAAAGACTGAATAAAGATCTACAACTTATTTTTAGAAGTGAAGTGAAAATTCTGACTGCAAGGTGGTGAAAAACAGGCCTTGAAATCACGCAGTTTACCCGCATTCACGTTTCGTACCGAGACCAAATGACAATTTCCGGGGATTGAGCGTCGGAAACACGCGAAAGGAAGACTTGATTTCCGGCACAAAAACTAGACCAGACGATGATTGCCATCGATGTTGGACTTTTCTCTTCAGTTTTGGCTTCTGATAATTTGTTACTTCCTCCGTCCAAAAATATTATCGAGTTTGAGATTTCACTTTTAGTATAAATTCTATTAAAAATAAAAATTTAAACTAAAGAATAATTTCGGACCGGGAGAATACTAATTAATTAACAAGGAGGGACAACATGTCAAATTTATTGGAACTTCAAACAGCAACTCTTATATTTCTTCCGTGAGGATCCAGCTTATTCAAGGCCTTAGGGGTTGTTTCGTCGCTTATGGGGTTTTTATTTTTTTTAGTATTTAAACTATAAAGCTCACCACTTACGTAAATCAATATGTCAAAAGTTTGAAAGATGATCACTTTCACATGAATCATTATAGTTATCTATTTAGAATTTAATAAATGGTCTTTGATTCATTGAAATGATGTTGGGGAGAATTTAACCATGAAAATGATTCTATTTGGATTTTTTCTTTTTTTTGTGACAGAAGAAATAAATTTATTAAGTTGCTGGGAAACTACCCAACACGGAATAAGGTACAAAATCAGGGATTATGTTCCAAAAATTTTTCGAAGTTTCTGTGATTTTTTGCAAATTGGGCTAAGCCATTGTCAAATACATTGAAGCGGCGGTTGATCCATTTGCAGCTGAAATCGGCATGGTCTTTAAAACGAGCTTTCAGATCTTCCACTATAAAACTTGCATCTGATAAATCAGAGTCCTCAGAATTCAGTCGGCGGATGATTGTTGATGAATCCCCGATCAGAGTGAAGCGAGCTAAACCCATTGCAACAGCCATTCTTACTGCTTCTCTTGCTGCTAAGGATTCGATAACAGGCGCGGTGTATAAACCATTGAAGGTTCTCGCATAGCAACCAGAGAATCCGGAGCGCAGTCCCAAATTAATACTCCTGTTGCGGAGAGTTTCTTTGTGGCATTAATTGCACCATCGAAGAAGATACATATACCAACCATAAACTCAAGAGAATTCAATGGAGTTTCAAGCAAGGGGGGCAGCATGAAGTTGTGTAGCTGTGCTTCGTTCCATGATGTAAGCCATGACAGAGTGGAATGTAGTACTGATTCTGGTGTAGAAGTACTTTTTTCAAAAATCTGTTTATTTCTTGCATGCCACAGGTTGTAGCAAACCACCGCAAAACGCCTTTGTTGCTGTGATGATAGTGATGTAAGGAGGTCTGCCACCTGCATTCTGGCTACAGCATGGTTCTTCTCGTATACACAAGTATCGAGATTAGCTAGTCGCCATACTGCCTTCGAAAAATTGCAGCTGAAGAGAGCATGTTTGAGATCTTCAGGTTCTCCGCATAATGGGCAACCATGGTGGTTCTGTGCTTTCCTAAGGAGCAAGTTTTTTTGAGTGGCCAAAGAATCAGTGAGGGCTCGCCAAAGATGATGCTTTATTTTTGGCGCGATGTTGACGCTCCGGAGTCGTTCCATACTGTCGAGCTTTCAGACGTATTTGATGTTGATGGGAGCTCATTGTTCTGAAAACTGGGGTGTGTTTGCAGTACTCTATAAGCACTTGAGACAGTGTATTTTCCATGAGTGGTGAAGTGCCAAATCCAGAAGTCTCTTCTGTCTGTTTTGCTCAGGGGACTGCCGGAGATGATATCAACTTCCTCTGGCCAGAAATAAATTTAGTTAAATAAATTTATTTAATCCTAAATTAAATAGGATTGATTTAGTTACAACATTGAAACTACACGTGCCCCATAAGGTGATTTTGATGGCAAGCAACTTGTGCTCGTTAATAGCACAAGGTATGTTTAGGCCCTGCATTCATTTTAGAGGCTCCGCTTAGGGGGGTCAAACCGCGCGGAATGAGTATGACATCACAACTTGTAATGCATTAATCTAGTTGCTTTCAAGTATTAATTCAATTCATATTTAAATCCTTGAGGAATAGCCGGAAATATATGGGCACCGACTCCAATTTGTGTTGTAAAGTTAATTTTTTTGGTTCATCAAGGTTCAAGAATTAGGACATGATTTTAAGCTCGAGTTCAAGAAACTTCTAGCCAAGGCCTATTACCATTTCCAACAAAATCTATATGTTACTACAATTTACAAGTTAAACACATCCTCTCAAACTTCAATCCCTCACGAATCCTCCAGAAACTTTTGTAATCATACACTCCTTCCATCTCAAAATGATTGCCTTTTTAAATTTTTATTTTTAATATAACTAATAATGAAAATGAAAATATAAAGTGGATACTCATTTTAGGATTTGTGTTTTTCCTTAAGTTGTTCCGACTGGAATGTTTTTGTGAACTGTGAGTCCTCCTTCCTTTCCTTCTTTTCTTTTTTGCTTTGTTTTGTTTTGGTTTTTTTTTTCGGGTCGGTTTGTTCTCATCAAAGAGTCTAAAACTACATTGTGATGACAAATCTTTTTCTTATCATCTCTGCCATACTAAGAATCTCAGATTTAAAGCTTATGACGAGGAATCTGTTTGTCCACGTACATGTTTTATGTTAGTGGACTATATGGATTAGAGTCATCAAATGCAAATGACTCATTTCGTGCACGTGTCTCGTTATTGCAAATCAGTACTTGGTATATGAGTGAGAAATTTGTATGTTGTGAATCGCCTAGATCAAGAAATTACACGTCAAATTATCAAATCAGTGAAAGGTCAAATTGACCGTTTTAGTTAACACAAGTCAAGAAAATTGGATAAGCTCATAAATAAAAGTCCAATTAAGTTGCTCTTGAGTAGTACAAATTTGTGAGACAAGATAAGTTTAAAAAATTGTCAAATGTGAATTTCAAGGGCGGGGCAAACCATTAACCAGCTGATTAGGGTGCATCTTTACAACTTTAATAATAATAATTCACAAGTTCGAATCCTCATAATTGAACAACCAGCAATTCCTTTTCATTTCTCCGAAAAACGGAAGAACAATTTATGAAATATACATATTTTAACCTTTTAAATAATTAACATCAATATGAATCATTATATAAAATGCATACTCCCTCTGCTGTCAAATAATTGTCCAGTTTGAATTTTCACTTATTATTCAATCTAATGAAAGTAACAATCCAAATTTGATAATAATTTTGTTACGAGAATATCTATATATAGAATTTGTAAAAAGAAAGAGATCAGAATGATTGTATAAATTCGAACTACTAATTCATGATTTTCACCATCTTACAAGCAGCTCTCACCTCAATCCAAGAAATCATGATCCCAAAAACTAAATCCACGCTCTCATTAGGTTCCCCAATCAACTGATGCCACATCCCTGGAAACACCTTCATACACTTATCTTTACTCCCAACAGCTTCAAACACATTCATAGCCGCTTCAGGGTCACAAACTGTATCATCTCCACCGTGCAAAATCAACAAGGGCACCTCCAACTCATGGCACTTTCTCTGAATATACCTACAAGCTTTCATCAGCTCTTGTGCCGTGATCGCCGGCGGCTTCCGGTTCGCCACCCGATTCGGGCTTTTTCCGACCAATTTCTTCTTCCATCCTTCTTTGTATGAACCCCTTGTCGGTGGCTTTGTGCAGCTTACCCTCCATGAAGGTGCAATAAAAGCCGCAATAGGCAAGAGTTTCTCCAATGGCCAAACTGGCAACATCTTTTTCGAAACGCCGCACATTGGACCGCTCAAAATGAGTCCGCTCCATTCATTCTTTTGCCTTACACAAATCATGATGCAAATCGCGCCTCCCATCGATTCGCCATAGAGAAAAGCGGGCAGTTTTGGATACTCTTCACGTTTTGAATCGAAGAACTGGATAGCATCCGAGACCAAAGATCGAAAATCAGAGATTAGCCCGGGTGAGCCTTGCGAGTAACCATGGCCTTGGAGATCAAGAGCGCAAACAAAGTAGCCGAATTTCGCGACGGCGACGGCGTTGAGCTCAAACAGCCAGCTGCTTTCCGAGCAATAGCCATGGACCATGGCTACGAGCCCTTTGAGTTTTGATGGTGAATAATCAGCTGGCTGCCATGATTGAGTGTAAATCTTCATGTTTTTGTTGTTGATCATGAAGCTTTGCTTGTGAATTATTTGATGTTTCTTGTAGAATTCTTCTCTTGTGAGATCTCCATATGGGCTGTTTTCATTTGCTTGGTGGATTGGATGGGGAGTAGACATTTTTTTTTAAAGAGAGTTTGTGGAATGCAATAGACTGGAGGATTTATTTATAGAGTTTACCCAAAATGGCTGGAGAATATATTATTTTCGTATTGGCTATTCCCATCGGTGGTTGGACAGCTGGAAACATAGAGGAGAATGGAATAAACCACAAAAAAAAAAAAACAATAAATATTTTGATGATTTAATATGTATGTATCCGAAAATTACAAGTTTAGTGTCTACCTAATAGGCTGATGTGACGCCTGCATGAATTAATTTTAGTAGTTTTTAGGTATTGAAATGCATGAATTGAAAGAGAAAATTAGCTCACTCAAATAGCTACAATTATATTTCATTTTTAATTAATTTGTGCATTTTTTTAGAATATGTTCAATTAATTCTCTAACTAATTATTTAATTGAAATAAAAAAGAAAAGTAGTTATTAAGTTATATTACAAATAAAATCCTGTTCGTAATAGTCTCTCTGCAATATCCACTCCCTTATAGATCTCACCACATATAATGATCAAGATTCTTGTTGTATTCTATATACAAAACTGATTATTAGAAAATTATATATTACTTTTACGCTATGTGATATCCGCATGTACTATGGATGATTTAGATAGATTAAACGAAGATCTGGCTGTGACAAATCTATAATCTAAAAGAACAAAAAGGCCATCATAGAAAACCAATGCGAAAAATTAAATGTTCGATACATTTGATCAAACGTCAAGGGAAAATCGAAGAAATTGTTCATCTATCCTTCGGAAAAAGATCACAAATCTTCAAATCTTTGTGGAAAATGGGTCATTCTCACTAATAATTCACGTTGTTTTCGAGCCCTGCGATTGCAAGAGGGGAAAATGTGTCATTCTCACTAATAATTCACTTTGTTTTCTAGCCCTGCGCTTGCAAGAAGAAGAAGGAGAATCAATTATTTGACTGCCGATTGGCAGATACCTACTAAATAAATTTAAGGACAAACCGCATGCGGGAATTCAAAAATAAAAATGAATCATGCGAGAGGGACTAAAATAATTACCGTGATTATGTGTCGATTCCCAAACTCGATATTTTTCACCTGATTTGAAATCAAACGAGTAACAAATAAAACAATTATTTAAGGGACGGGAGGGCGAACTTTGAATAGTCTAGAATTTGCAACTTATACATTCAGTTCAAAAATTTCAGCTTCGTTTAGGCTGGAATATTGTTTTGGTGTCTCAAATTGAAAAACCTAAAATCGCGAAAAACATAACTACCTGTGTTACGCTCCAAATTAACACGTTAGAGCATACATCGTATTTTACTTTCAATAACAACATCAACATTTATAATACCCAACATTATTGGGGGTAATATTTCATCACAGAAAAACTGTCTAAATACGACCCAAAATGAGATTATGATAATGAGACGTACTATAATGAAGTACTAATAGATCGCGAACCATAATGAAGCACCAACCGTGGGGGAATACAGTAATCCAGACCAACTCGCGGAAGCTAAGGACGACTAAAACTAAATGTATAACTATAATCAACGATTTGGATAAAGAAGTTTAGTAAATGGAAGAACGTTGAACTGAATAATTGCATCTGATGCTTTGTTTCTTTGTTAGAATATGAATTATTCTGTCTTTTCTAAATAATTGTTTAATTTAAATTTTTAAATTTAGTGTGGAATACAATTTATCTTAAAAGTGAAAATTCAAATGGTACAATCATTTTTCAATAGAACTGAGTAATAATCAATTAGTGAATGCACATTTTTCAATAGAACGAGTAATAATTAGTTAGTGAATGCACATTAATAGTGTGGAGCATGTTTACACTTCGTAGATCCACACAGAAAATCATAAACATGAGGTATGAATTTCATCAAAACATTTCACTCAGGTGTATGAATCGACTAGCGTATTATGCAAAAATTAATACGCTAGTCCATAAATACATATGAAAAAGTGTGGATTTAAAAAAAAAAAAAAAGAAAAAAAAAGACCAAGTGTGGACGGAAAAGATGCAGTGTATCTCAAGTTTGAGTCGTTTGAATGAGGAAAAAAGATCCTCCTTGTGTTCTACAAAAATAATTCACACTGTAAATTAGAAATTATGTTAACTTTTATATATTTTATAATTTATTAAAATATAATCTTTTTAAGACCGGGAGAATATATATTAAAAGTTATTCTAGAACATAAATTTTTCAAGATATGTTAGGCTAAGCTCACGTTGTATCCCGCGCGAAATGTACTAGTGCGACGTGCATATTAGAAGATTTTTACTAAACGTAAATGATGAAAGAAAAAATAGATTACAACATAAAGCTGAAAGAACCATTTCGGCTATACTCTCAAATACTGTATACATATGATTCTTAAAAAAAAAAAAAAGAAGTAAATAAATATGATTTTATATACTTAAGCACTGGTGTATCTATGACAATCAAGCACGCCGGACATAAACATCTGGTTTTCTCACAAACTTTAAATTTATAAATAGGTTTCAACAAAACATAGATTTATTTTCTTCGTTTTAAAATAAGAATATTTTGATTCTTATTAGTTGGGTTAAAAATAATTTAACAAATAAAAAGATTGTCATCTTGAGACAGTAAGACAGTGGGAGTATAAAATTATCCACTTTGTCTTTTATTTGTCAATAATTTTAAATGATAGGGTGATCAAGGTGCCAATTATACCTGCTCACATTTTCTCAAAAGTTATTTGATTGTTCACGTTAAAAAGCTTCAAACTTCCACACTAATAATGTCGCTTGAGGGGCCTTCGGTTATATTCATTCTCTACCGAAAATCAAACGTGGCCAAGACGTTGAATTGAACCCCAAAAATGATCTCCATCCATTATTAAATGGAGTTGGTTATACGCTTGTTTTCATGGCATCACCTTTGTCCCGAGTCTTCTTGGTAAAATTATTCAGCGAAGTTTAAAAAAAAAAAAAAATTCTGGAAACTTGAGGATTAAAATCGAAAGCTTTAATTAATTCTAGATGCAATGTTGGAAGATAATGACTTATTTACAAATAATATTTAGAACTTTTTACAGTAATCTAAACACAAATAATATTTTCCACCTTCATTTTTTCCCGAGACTGCATCAATTAGTATGATAAACAATAATTAGTGAGTAAAGAGATGTTACTACTGTCCTCCCTGACACATTCGCAGCTACCTGATTTTATTAAAAGATTAAAGATATTTCTTGAAAATACTATTTATTCTTTATCTTTGACAAAAACCAGTACTATTAAGCAGTTACATGTTGAACTCAAACTTATGTAATTTAGTTATATTATACTAGTAGATATCATTTTAAGAGAAAAGAACTAGCAATTTTGTCCTTGTACATATTCACACCCGCTGGTTGCCATTTTGTGAATAGCAGTAGCTCTAATTTTTTTCACTAAGTTCGCTATCCACAATCCTTGTCTTGCTTATTGTATATTGTATTATTATAATAAATTAAATAATTATTTTGAGACGAGGATTAGTACTATATTTTTCAGAGATTTATGACTATGACGAAAAGTCTTTAAACCCGCATATACTGATACACGAGCATTGGTGATTGGTAGGGTTTGCTGATTTTCTACCAACTGCATGGCATTGAACAATAAATGCAAATATGACCATATGTCACAAAAGTAACAATTTGCCGTCTTCTTTGTTCCTTTATTATTATTATTTTTTTATTTTTATTTTTTTTTTTTGCAATTTGGTGATTTGTTCTTTGCGGTGGCATTTTCCAATTCTATCTTCGTCCACACTATTTTCGGATGATTTATTCAAACCTATGTATATGATAAGCAACAAAAAAAATATTGAACACGCACCCACATGCACTAGGGGCAACTGGAAGCCTATAAACCACCCATTGTACTTTTAATGTAAACATTCTATCATGTCATATTAATAGAATAAAGCGAACATCAACTCCGTATTAATTGTTTAGGATAAAATCTGTATGAACACGTTCCATTTTGATTTGAGTTGTATATTTATCAGTAGACGAACATTAATGAAAGTTGTTAGTAAAAATACCCCCCAAAAAAAAGAAATGTACTTCAGGTTTAGGGGAAAAGATGCGTATAATAAAATTGGTATCTCTTTTTCGACCAAAAGTAAAAAACAATTGGTACCACTTTAGGTTGGGGGTTTGATTTTCTTACAAATGCAAATTTTTACGTTTTTAATATCGGCTATACAATGTGAAAAGACGATCTAAATAGAGGTGAGCAATATACTAATATTTGTGGTATACCATATCTATTTTCATTTTTCGTTTTTCATTCTTCTTTTTAGTTTGTGGAATATCCAGGAAATTGAGAGAAATAAATCGGTTAATCGAATTTGCGAGTCACGTAATTATTGGTCACACCGTGCATACTACATTAGACTGCATGTCGTCATAGGCATATCATTGTTGAATTCCACAAAAAGGGTAGTTACTCTTTGAAAGAAAATTATTTGATCGATAAGGGATAAAGTTGGTTCGACGTTCGGTACCAAAAATTTAATGTTTGCAAATTAACCATATATTTGTGGCCCTTGGGAGACCAATAATAACAATTCTATAATTATATGTCATTGGTGATTATTTGCCGACGTGGTGTGAATTTTCTTTAGGGTTTACGTATAAATGCATGATAACCCAACAACCAAAATTAATGTAAATGATGCTTCTTTTATTCTGTACGTAGATGAGGGTCAAACCTATAGTTTTTTTTTCCCTAAATAATTATGGATGGTTTAACGTTGCAAGAAACACTAGATCTTTCCTGAAGCTTCGACCGTATCCGGTGAAGCTTTTATTGTAAAAATGGAATATTCATTCAAAAAATGGATCGTAGCCACCCACCTATTGCTGAAGCGGTAGATAGATTCATTCAAAAATGTTTTTTTTTCAAAAAAAAAAAAAAACATAGCAACTTCCAGTGATTTTTTTTTTCTTTTAGAAAAATTTTATTTCCTTGAAGAGTTAAGCTGAGACTTGTATATGACTGAGAT